AAAAGTAAAAGCACTTTCTCTTTAATTCACTATTAGATTATTTCTTTCTTATGCTCTTCTAATAAAATTCTCAGGCAGGATGTGAACAGAAAGAAAACAGTAAGGTTTATTGACTTCCTATCTCACACTTTGGTTCCAGTGTTTGACTATTTATGACTTCCTTCCTGTTCTCAGACAGAGTCACTAATTTTAGGTATGCCTTTATGGTTAGAGGCATCACTTTGTTTTGCTTGAATTTTTAAAACAATGGTCTTGGGAAAGAACTGCGCTTCACCTGTGCTGCTGCTTAGCTCTGTGGGGCATTTTTGGTTTTGGTTTTGTTTCTCCTCTCATGAAACTAGGTCAGAATACTCTTCCTGACCCAAATAAAAAATGGGTTATTTGAGATTAAGTTCTTAAATTATTGCTAAATGCTAATTATGATAATTTAGATAATAATTTGTATTCCCAACCATAAGCAAAAAGAAAGTGCATCTTCAGAAAATTGATGGAGCTTCTGTATATAAAAGATATTCAATGGTTATCCTAAATGAAGTAGAAAACTGAATTAGAAAAATGGCTAATACAGCCCTAACATGAAACATTAATTGGGATTTAATAGTGTAATCTTAGCCKTGGGAAAGAGACATAATAACATTCTATTGAGTCTTTGTTAGAGTCCCTTATAATTTTGCTTTAACTATGGCATCCTCGACAGTTGTGCACAATCCATTCTATGAATCAGAATCCAATTATTTTATATTAGTTTCATGCTTTTTACCCAAGAGAGAATCATAAATTGTTTTTAATTACTTCTTTTATTTTTAAATCAATAGTGTCTGCCAAGTGGGTAACATTTCCCATTAAAACATAAACTCCTATAATGGGTATAATTACTTCCTAAGGAGATAAACAGCAGCAGGAATCGACAATTTCTAGGTTTATAAAACCTAATTATGGTATCACACAATATTTCATTCCTACTGATTTCAAAAAGAACATAAACTTGAACAAAGCCCAGATATCTATGATAAAGTAACTGGGGAGAAGCAAGGTCATTATTGCATACAGTTTGGCCTCTGCTAATAGTTTCTGGGAGGAAGTCCCTTTCCACCTCATCATTCAGGGTCCAGGCAGGTTTGGGGGCATTCTGGTTATCTGTGGCCTGGGTTGGCACCCTGGAGGCTGAGATGAAGAATGAGGCTCAGTTCAGAGGCCTAAGCTTCTTGAGGCTGGGCCAGGACCTGGGATGGAAAAGCAGCCCCAGCAACGGATTTTCATGCTGCTTCAGAAGAGGTGGGGAAAAGGAGAGGCCCTGGTCTGGGCCTCCAACATCCCTGTTTCAGCAGGAGATTTGTCTGTGCCTGTTCTACATTGGAAGATTCTGCAACTCGTTGTGTTTGGGGAAAGGGGATCCAGAGCTAAAATTTATTTTTGAAAAATATCTGCCCTGTGGCAAAGTCATGTGCTGTCTCTCTGTCAAAGGCAAGATGACAAAAAATATAACAAAAGAAGAACYTGGGGACACACTGGGATAAGGGGACAGCGTCACCTGATGGCTGTGTCCCCAAATGCATGCACATTCTCATATTTTCAATATTTATTTCTAACTCTGGTTTTTTAAAAATTGTCATTTTAAAAAGAAAGTGCATATACACACACACACACACATATATATATATATACGTACTCCAAGGATACACCCCCAAACTCAACTTCACTGATGCCTCTCCTGTTGAAAAAGAAGATAGAGGACAAGAAGCTGGCAGAAGAGGAGGAAGCTGGATATTTCCCAACGGTCTTGGTCCAAACAGGGGCTCTCCATTTTGTTCCAACTTTCCTAAATATTAATCTGTCTCTCTTTGTATTCCTCTCCCTTTCCTCTTGCTGAATGGTACCATGAGAGGGTTTTTCTCTTCCTCTTTCTCCTTAACACACACCAATAGACAGGACATGCCCCTTTAGAACTCAGCAACCTACTAATGTTGCGATACTTACAGAAAGAAAGTTAATAATAGGCCCAAGAGCAAAATGGGAAGAGGAAGAGACTCACACCTGTCCCCAGCATCTACAGAAAATTCTGGCTGAGGAAGGCAAAGGTAGGAGGTGAAAGTCTAGGAGGGAAACAAGGAAAGGCATTAGCCACTCAAATTTGTSCTCAGGGACTTGTTAGTAGCAAGCTGATTTTCACATACTGGCTCTTTCCAGAGAGAGCTCTTTCCTGACCAACCGCTATAAAGCGGCCACCTGGTCACCCTCCATCACATTACCCCATCTTACCTCTCTACACCACACTTATTTTCTGGCGTTCACCTTCTTGTGTTTTCTGGCCTCTTTCCATTCCCTACCGCCACACAAGCTCCTGAGAGCAAGGACTTGTCCTCACTTTGTCTCGTCCCTAGGATATAAGCCCCAAGGCTCTAGGGACTTGGCTGGTTTTGATAACCTCCATGTCCCCAAGGTGAATTCCACATAGTTGGGCATTCAATAGTTCAATGAATCCTTGTTAAATAAAAGAATTATAGAAAGAAAGCCCTTGATTCTTTGCCAAGTGTCATGGTTAGATATTAGGTGTCCCCCAAAAGCTCATGTGTGAGACAATTCAAGAAGGTTAGAGGAGAAATGAATGGATTTTGAAAGTTTCAACCCAATCAGTGAAATAATCCCCTGACAGGGATTAACTATGTGGTGACTGAAAGCAAGTGGGGTATGGCTGGAGAAGTGGGTGACTGGGGGTGTGTGTGCCTTTGGGGGTCTATATTTGGTGAGCTGAGCTCAGTCTCTCTCTGCTTCCTGGTGTGATGTCTTGATCTGCTTTCTCCACCACACTCCTGCACCATGATGTTCAGCCTTAACTCAAATCCCAGGAAATGAAGCCAGCTGTTTATGGACTGAGACCTCCGAAATCATGAGCCCCCAAATAAACTTTTCCTTCTCTGAAACTGTTCTTGTCAGGTCTTTTGGTCACATCGATGGAAAAGCTGACTACACTAAGACTGCATTGTGATAAAGCAACTGAAAATTTCCCTGTGAATTGGAGTAATAACCTCAATTTCCAGTCCATCTGGAACAAAAGGGTCTAAAGCAAAGATGGAATCAGAAGTGCTTCCTCCATGTGAATAGCAACGTGCTTGTGAGGGACACCACAGAAAGGATAGCAGCTCCCTTCCCACTCCCGGGGCACCAAGAAGAACTCAAGGAGATGCTTGCTGCGTGCGGTGGAAGCATGTGCTGAAGATCAAATAATGCTGTCATCCTTGAAGCATCACAAAAGCTGCTTTGATATGCATTAGATAACAACTTTGGTGAAACACAATGAAAATATTTTTCACATGTTATCCGATATTTTCATCAGGACTGGTAAACATCAAAGACGAATATTAGCCAGAAGAAGGAGTACACGCTTGTAATCCTACAGATTTGGGAGGCTGTGACAGGAGGATCATCAATTTGAGGCCAGCCTCAGCAACTTAGCAAGACCCTGTCTCAAAATAAAAAATAAAAAGGACTGGGAATGTAGCTCARTGGTAAAGCACCCCTGGGTTCAATACCCAGTACAAAAAAATAATACCCCAACTTGCTTCATTATGATTCTCCCTTTGGAGAAGAGTAAAGCAAAGGCATATGATAACTTACAAGTTAAGATATTAAACAACAGCATTTTATTAGTGATATCATATATAGGTATATGTATATATGATATAAAATATATTCCTTTTAGAACATGTAAAGGGTAACATATTTGTACCTATATGTTTTAGGATAAACAACAGAACTTCACAGCATGGGATAAGCTTTTTTACACTGTGAGTAGTAACGTTTTATTTTGGAGGAAGTAAAGTAGGTATGTAGTGATCAGCTCAGGATGTCTGCAGGAGATATATAATAGGGGGCAATGGCAAGTATGACCAGTGTTTGCCATTCCAGATTTGGACACGTATCATTTAACAATCATTTTCCGGCATGTCTAATATATATTTGATTAAAAAATGTATCCTGGTGATTCTGCATCTGATACACCTCATGGATTCTGCTATAGTGTAAATAATACATTAACTATGCCACTGAAAAACAATGCCACCACTCAAACTTGAATGAAAAATATACCTTCATGGTTTCCATCATCATTCCTATACAATTCTTTTTTTTTTTTTTTTACCATGATATTATGATATAAGAAGTATGTATTTGGTCTTCGTCCCTGGTTTCTAACCATAGAGCTTCTTTTTTATTTTATTTTTAAAAATTTTGTGGGCTTCATGTGTATTAGCCAAGAATTCCACTACTGAACTACACCTGCAGCCCTTCACAAGAGCTTCTGAAATACTTGGGACTAAATTAGAGCAAATTATATTCTGTGCCTTTATAATTATGTCAAAATGAATCCCAATGTTATGTATCACTAAAAAGAATCAATAAAAAGTGGAAAGAGAGAGAGAAAGAAGAGTAAATAAACAAAAAATGCTCCCATCATTCAGGCAAACCCTATACAATTCTTTTAGTCCAAAACACACTATGTGAAGATCAGATCTCTAATACCTGAATTCAAAGTAGTGGGGAAAACCATATAACAAATATGCTAACACACTGTTCCTCTGTTTCTTTTGTTTTATTAATTTTGTTGTGTGGAGCTATATCTATATATACGCAAGAGAATTTTAAGTGATCAATTAAAAACTAAACTTGCTTTTCCCCCTTGCAAGTGTATAACGTTTTAATTTTAGGGAACTGTTTTCCCGGATTTATTTCACTACCACATCTTTTGTATTATTTATCCTTTCTTCTTACAAAAGAGCTGTTCTGTACCTTTCCCTGAAGGAAAATATAAAGAGGAAATAGTTGATATTAAACAAAATAATCCACAGTGATATTCCTAATAATGCTGCTTTTTTKTGTGTGTGTGTGTGGCCATCAGGCAGGTACTACCTTGGTGCCTTTGAGGAAGAATTAAATTTCAATCGAGGAAGGCTCCGACTTGCTACTGCAGGACAGGTTTCCCACATGGATTCTGACCACCCCACTTACTTTTCCAAGAATGAAATCCTATTGATGTGTTTTTCCAAGATATTTTGTGGAAAATAAGAGTTGATAGATGGCAACTCCTCCTCATCCATGATCCCCAAACAGGAAACAAATTCATCAGGCAGCAGGGTCTGTTCCAGAACGGGATCACTGGGTGACTTGTTTTCCAAAAACATGCTGGTTTCCCCCTCCGCTGGGTTTTGTAGGTCAGGAGGACTGCTGCATTCTCCCTGATTTAAAATGAGGCTTAATTCTTCCAGAACCAGCGTGTTGCTCCGCGAATTCAGACTTGACACAGAAAAACCAAAGTTAGGATATTTTTTTAACCTCATATTCCTTTCCAGGTCCAAGAAATCGACTTGTGTAGGGGTTGAGAAGTCCTGTTCATCGCTATTGCTAAGATGTTGCTCCTCAGGGAGAAAATTTGAAATCTGGGGTTTATATCCGGTGTGGAGGTCAGGAAGGTACACAATGGGATTGCTGGTGAACAGTGACTTTGGCAGGCCGTCTCTTGTCTCCAGGGACTCTGTATTTTCCTTCTGGCAATCCCTGAGCTTGTGCTCTCCCAGGAAAAGGAGTTCCCTTATTTCTGTAATCATGGGATCCACATAAAGGACCTCTTCGCTGAAATTGCTAGTCACACATTCACTTTTTTCCTAAGGGGGGGGGGGGAAAGACATGGTTTTATTTTACAAAAAAAAAAAAAAAAAAAAAAAAAAATTAAAAGGAGCCAGCTGGATAATTGAATAAGCTCTGGAATGTTCTTTCCCTCAACCTCTCTCCCTCCCTTTTCTCATATTGTTTATCTTCCTGTATGATTTCCTCCTTTTGTCTTTTGTTCTCTTACTTGCTTCCAAATCCTTATGAAATCCTCCCCAAGAGGTGACAGAAAGAAAGGAAGAAAAAAATAAATAAATAATCCGTGCCTCTTAACATATTTCTCAGTTTAAAAGTTTTAAAGAGGAAGATGGGACTTGACGATTAACTGGCACATTAACGTAGGGCTTTGGAATATATAGGAATAGTTCTTAATATTATGGAGCSCTACTACAAGGGGGGAAAAGCCACTTTGTTGTTTAAATAAAAGAAAGAGGAGGGACTCCTATTTTGTTTACGTGTTGAGAGTGAGGCTGTGGTGTGTACCTGTGCTGAGGCTCTCCGGGTGCACAGCCACTCACAATTCAGGTATGTGGGAMCATCAGGAAGGTGGGTGAAGGTTTCAGCCTGCTGACTTTTGAGGGAAGGACTTGAGACCTTCCAGCTGAGTGCCAGCCTCCCAGGGCAAATAACTTTAGCCAACACAATTATAAAATTAGTGCCATCTATCACAGACTGAGCATTTGTGCCAACCYCACCACCCCCGTTCATATGTTGAAGCCAAAGTGATGTTATTTGAAAGTGGGGGCCTTTGGGAAGTCAGCGAGTCATGGGGGTGGAGACCTCATGAATGGGATTCATGCACAAGAGACATGAGAAAGATGGTCTCTCTGCCAGGTGAGGAGGACAAGGAAACCCTCAACAGGAACTCAGGTGCCTGGCACCTTTATCRTGGACTTGCCAGTCTATAGAACTGTGAGAACAAATGCTTGGTGTTTAAAYCCATCCGGCTATGCATTCTGTCACGACAGCTCTGAGCAGACCACTCCTTAATCTCTTGAGCAGCAACCCAGAACTCATCTGAAGGAAAGAAACCAGGTTTCCCCTCTAATTCCAGGAGCCCAGAGTAGGACAGGAGTTTGGCAAAGGAGAGGATCTCAAATAAAGCTATGTGAAGTGTTGTTCAGGTTTTCTTCATGCCTTGCCTCCTCAGAGAACTCGCCAGGTTTGGGCAAGAGCAGCAGCTGGGTGTTGCTTAATGGAAAAGCTTGATGTGAGGAGTGACTGGAATAAGGCTGGGCTGGGGACTGGGGTCACCTCACAGGTTTTGTGTTACGGCAATTGAACTTCATTCTGTGGCAGGTGGTTTTAAAACTTTAAAAACTTTTTTTTTTTTTTTTTTTTTTAGGTTTAGGCTAGGAACCTCTTGTTCAAATGATGTGAGGTGGGGGAAAGAGTCGATGAATGGGCTCACCAGAGCTGCAAACAGAGCCACGCTTATTTGCTTGACAAATATGACCTTCTCCTACCTGACATGCTGGTTTTATCTCTGTACTTTTGCTCACATTGTCACCTCTGCTTAGAATGCTCTCGCTTTCTCCTCAGAATCTCTGTGTGTTTCCTGTCACCCATGTGGGCTCATGTGTCACTGCATGTACATCCCTGCACTGCAACGCTTGGATGACATGTCTGGCCCACTGACAGGGCTTCGAGGCCCTGGCTAGCTGAGTAGATGGCTGGAAACACACAGAGACCCTCTCCCTCTTCCACGGCCAGCAAAGCCCTATCCTCAGTCTTCCTGGTGCACACTCTTCTCTTTGCTGAAATGGAAACCTGCCTACCCCCTGGGGACACCATCCTCCAGTCCCCTCATGTTAATTGCTCATATTCCCCTGGGTTTAAAATAGAAAGGGGTGTCCTCCATCGGCTCCACCACTTCTCTACCTCGTGTGAAACAGAAGCCTCTTTGAGTCTTTGAAGCTCATTCCATTGAGTTTTCTTCCCTCTATCCTTTGCGCCTAAAGACATCTGCCAGTTTCTTGGTCTAATGACCTCAGTACCTGACCCACACTCTTCCACTTCACATTTCTCTCTTGAATAGTATGGTTTCTTTCTTCTTTTCTCCCCTAATCCTATTCCTTCATCTCTTTTAAGTAGAATTTGAAAGATGTACGATTTTGTTTCTTTAGACATGTGTAATTACGTTAATATGTGGAGCCACATATTTGAATGGAAATTCTACTCTAATCATGAGACCCCACTCTTGGTCCCAATTGCCACTCTGTCTTTATTTGATGGTGTTTGGTTACCTGAAGCATTTTCACAACATTACTGTTTTCCATATTCGGTATATCTTCATAAAGCCACTTTGGTATCAGCAATAAGATTTTTCTTTTAATTCTAAAAAAAATCAAACATGACATATTAGAAGCAGCATTTTACTTTCTGATTGGTGCAGGCAATCATAGGAGATGAGGTGGTCAACTAGAATGGAATGCATCATAAAAATCAGACTCCCTGATACAGGGACAAAGGTTTTCATCTCTTAAAGTTAAGGGAAAGCTGACTCAGTATCTTTTCAGGTATTCCTCTGGTTTCTATTGTTCTGCTTCTTTCTAATGAGCAGGAACATTTCAAAACACATTAGATTCAAGAGAACTGGGAGAAACCACACACATGTTAAACACAGCAAACCACTCTAAGCAGATCATGCGGGTGGGAAAGTTTGAAAAAGTGAAGGATATTTTGTAGAACTTTCTAAGGCAACCATAACTATTAAATAAAAAAGAAAAGACTGTTACACTAAAAAAACCTATAATTCAAGCTCCCCTAATCTAAATTTTGTAATTATTCCAAATACTATTGAGGCAATTATGAGGCCTTCAAATTTTCTTTACTTGGTTGGAGTAGGAGGTAAGGGAACAACTATGTGGCATGGTGAGCACTGGTTTTCACCTAGACTATGTGCTTATTAAGTATCCTAGGGATGAGTTGATGGGGCTTCCTGCCCCTCCAACTTATTCTTGGTGATGCCATTGAGCTTAAAACAATTCACATATTGAAAACTCAAATCTATAGGGTGGAAAAGTTTCACCAGAAACATGGAAGAGACTAAACTCATCTCAGGCTTATTTTTACATGTTAACAAGGACCTGTAAACAACAGATAGGACTTGGTTATCTGTCTTAAGCAGATTCTCTAAAACTTTTTATTAAGTAACAACCAAAATGGCTGCATGAATGCCACAAGCAAGCCCTGTTYGATCTTGGACTTTGGGGTAAAAATGATTGCTTTACATATATTTATACAATGTTTTATGATTCAGTTTTTTTACACCTTCTATATTTAAAATTCAATCAAACTAGTAAATTCTTGTTATTGTGGTAAAGTTTTTATATAGCACATTGATACAGTGAGAATGTATTTATATATATTTACTTAGTTTTGGTTTCATTGTGTTTAAAATGTTTTGTCTTCTGTTGTCCAGTTCTGTTTCTGATGTAGGGATTTTATAAATAATGTGGTTTTTAAAAAATATCTTTATTTTATTTGTTTATTTTTTATGTTGTAACGGGGATCGAACCCAGTGCCTCATACATGATAGGCAAGTGCTCTACCACTGAGCCACAACCCCAGCCCATAAATAATGGGTTATTATATAAATTAACAGTAACTGCTCATATGTAAAATAGCTATATTGAAATTATCTTTGTTTCTTTTATCTTTTAAAAAAGTGTACTTATTAAACTAATTAGGTTAATCAAGAATTTCCTTATTTGTCATTACCAACCCACAGTTAATTTTAGCTTTTTTTTAACTTGACTTGTTGATGGGCCTTTATTTATTTATTTATTTATTTATATGCAGTTCTGAGAATTGAACCCAGTGCCTCACACATGCTAGGCAATGCTATACCACTGACCTACAATCCCAGCTCCAGTTTTTAGGTTATTTTTAATAGTAAACCTAAAGTTATTTAAAATTTCAAACTAAGTAGGACATCTTTGGATAAGAACACAAAATTTAGAATCTTTATGTAGCATTACTTTGAAATTAGGATTAGATTTCAAGGGGCTTTATGATCAAGCATATTTTAAAACTACCTAAAATGAAGTTCCACATTAGTTGCCCACCTTGTCAGGGTATTAGGGATATGCTCATTAATGTGTAATTTAAAATTTGAAATATTACTTAAATTCTAAGGGAAAAGGTATGCAAATAAGAAGTCATTAATATACTTTATTTAGAATAGCTCACTTAAAATCTTTCTACTGCATTTTGATAACAAGATTTAAAGAACGATTATTTCACGAAGCAAGTGATGACAAGAAAGAGAAACTCAGTGCCAATTTGGCAAAGAATGCTCCTATGTGTCAACATCTGTGCGTAATTGGATATACTGGGAAACTGCCACATGAAACGACCTGTCTATGAACACATTAGAGATACTCAAGGCATCCAGTAAAACTGAGAGGACCAAAGACCTTGCTTTTCTCAAAATCTCATAATAATCTCAAAATTTCAATAACTAGGCACAGATCTCCACTAACACCATATAGTAGGGAGACAGATTGAAAGAATCAAGAAGAAGGGGCTGGATCCCTCACCACCAACACTACTGGTAACAAAGTGACAAATGCAAACATCCATACTTCTTTCCACACTGATTCAGCTGATTTCTTTGGGTAGAATTCAAGGTTTGCTTAATGGTTACTCAGAGGAATCCAGGTGCTGTGGATTGCTTGGGGTGCCATGGAAAGGCTGTGGGGGTGGGGAGCACAGGTGTGGATGTCAGTGCTATCTAGCTGGACTCCTGGCCTAGTGCTCTATGACCCCAGGCAGAGGACAACCTGTCAGCCTTGTTCAGGTCTTCTGAAAAATGGGCCATGGCGCTTTTTGGTAGGTCATTGTGAGGATTAAATGAACGGTATTTGTAAAGAGCTTGGCACTAAGCATTGGACCTTTAATTTTCCTTTTGCTGAGTAAAAAGGTTAATGGGTTTTTCTAGTAAATAACTGAATTGACAACATTTTGATAGCACATATATATGGCCTAAATTAGAACACAGAAACTACAAAAACCTACCCAGTTCGGAGCGATCTGTTAAATATCCCAATCAAAGAGAGAATTGACAACATAACAGCAAGGAAGACCATGCCCGATAAAAGTCCAATGTCTTGCCTGTTGTCTAATGAAAGGAAAGAAAAATAATTTTAACTAAGCATTAGCGTTCATCTGATGCCAGCAGTATTGTTCTCTCTACTCTGTTCAAAGTGAAGGTCACTGATCTCAAAGGAAGAGGAAAAGCGGAGGCAAAGACCACCTATGCCTTGGGCTATGAAACGACTGCTCTTTCAGAATGCATGACAAGACCCCAGGAAACAGCCTTATTGGTTTGGGAAAATTGGACTGATGTCTCTGGTATCAGCAGGTTTGTAGAAGTGCATCTCCAGCAGATGTGGTCAGCTTGTGCATGCATATTTCATTTAAAAACATTTAGTAATGAACCTCATTTGGTTTGTTTGACACAGGTGAGAATTCCAAATTGCCTGTGACAAGGTCTAATGCTGGCCACCATCACAACTGGGATTGTTGTGTTTTGTTTTGTTTTTTTAACCTTTTATGTGAGACAGAAAATCTGTGTGCAACTTCTCGTCATTCTTTATGAAATTTTTCCTGCTGAGAAAGGACATTCACTCTACCTAGAACAATAGATGGCATAAGAAAAAAAATCAACATTGCTATAGTCCTATACTTATTTTAGAAACAATGCTGTTCTTGCATTTTGGCATTGAGTTGATTTCCTTTAAATAATTAAAATAACTTATTCAGCATGTGTTACCCACCACACTCTTCACATTTTTCTCCCTAGTACATGAGAAAACCTGATATTCAAATATAGAAGATAGCTAAGACATGACTTAGATTGGACTTTTCTCTAGAGCCATGCTGGGTTTTGGCCTCCCTGTGGTCCTCTGTCCTCCCTCACTACCTCTTTTCGAATACAAACCAGGAAACACATACTGTATTGCCCCCACCCTAGTTATTGCCCTTCTGTGCTTGTTATGCCTTTTGGGATCTCCAGACTGACCAGCTTCTCTCTTAAACCCAATTGGCAAGCAGGCACCTGTGTAGCTTTATCTTCAAATCCCAATGGAATAGGACACTGGTGTTTTCCCAGAGCTAAAGATCCSTGGATGAATATTTCAAGCCACTAAAGGGATTATGGACTGCCGCATTCCTTGGATCGAGAGCTCCCCAATTATCATGATGCTGGAAGAAGGGGTCTAAGAAGTGGGGAGGAGAAACCAAGAGCTGAGTTGAACTCTGCCTTTTACCAGTTCTGGACTGTGGGGCATAACTGTAAACATGTTGAGGCTCAGGTTCCCTCTTCCATAAAATAGGGATTTTAATACCTATCTAGTAGAACTGCCTTGAGTTCTTGGCCTCCACAATTCTAACAAAACTATCAAGTTGCATGTCTATATAGACATCCATAATTAGGAATCTGCACTGAACTTGAACACTTGGCTCATGACTGATTTGCATCTACAAATTCAGGGTGCCCTCACCCTGTCTGGTGTTTCTTTGTAACACTTAGCCACCACCTGGTTTTCTTGTTGTTTTTGTTGGTTATTTTTCTCCTCTATCTAGAATGGAAGCTCCACGAAGATTGGGGGCTTTGATATTCTTCTTCTTCTTCTTTTTTTTCACTACTAATTTCCCATCACTCAAACTAATACCTGGCACTTAAGAGTTGTTTACTGAATATTTATTGAATGAATCAATGAAGGTGCAAGGAATATCAACAGAAGCTGTAGAAGTTCTTACACTGGTCCAGTCAGATCTCTATGCAAAGAGATAAATGGTCTACCATGTTGAAACAGTCATGCCAAAGTTTTTCAGTCTGAAACTTATATTTAGAGTTTTACTTGCCCATGGTTAGAGTTTGGATGTGAGGTGTCCTCCAGTAGTGCCTGTGTTACTGCAGAAATGTTCAGAGGTAAAAAAATGATTAGATTGTGAGAGCTGTAACCTAATCACTCCATACTGGTTTGAATGAACAGACTGGGTGTAAACTATAGGCAGGCAGGACATGGCTAGGGGAAGTGTGTCAATGAGGGCATGCCTTGGGAGGGAGCAACTTACCTCTCCTAGGCCCTTCTCCCAAGCCTTATCTTAGGCTCAGAGCAATGGAGTAGGCCATCTATGAACTGAGAACTTCGAAACTATGAACCCCAAATATATTTTCCTCCTCTAAGTCATTCTTGTTGGGCATTTTGGTTATAGCAATGCAAAAGCTACTTAAAGTACCCATTACACAACCTAATCTAATATTTTAAAATATTTTATTTAATCTGATATTTTAAAATATTTTAAAGCACCCATTACACAACCTAATCTAATATTTTTTCACGCCGAAAACATTTAATTATGCTCATCAGCAGAAACATACCCAGTCATATCAACAAATTAAATGGGAGCTACTTGTGTCCGAGAAAGAGCACAGATTTCAGGATTTAAAAGAACAGTATTTGAATTTTTATCTGTCCCTTAGCAGCTGTGTGACCTTGGACTCATTCCTCCATCCATTAGAGCTTTGTTTTTTCTCATTTACAAAATAGATCCATAATACTTATCTCACCAGATTGTTTTGAAGATTGAAAAAGATGATGTATATAGAACTCTTAGCACATGGTAGACAGAGAGTGGTATATTTTTAGAAGTTTTTGGGACTTGAGACCCAGCACCTACCTACTGAGATGAAAATCTGTTCAACTCACTGTAAAAGTTGGCAAAATCCACCTAAGCCTCTCTTTTACTTTAATTTTAAACATATTTTCGTACTTTGCCGAGTATTTTTCTATAGAAAGCATATGGCATATCTTATTGCCCAGAAACTCATGCCTGCCATGTGAATTTTTCAGTGTGGGGGTTAAAATGGGTAGTTATTGAAGACTCTGAAAAAGCCTCGGTGTTATTTTCTTACCAGAAGTAAGGTGTCCTTTTAAGGTGGAAGAAATGAGAAGGTCAGAATTCCGAGTATCACTTTGGAAAGATTTTGGTGTGACCTGGGAGACTTAAAAAGAAAAGAACATCAAGAAAAGAGCACTCAGGTGGCTCCGTGTCTTCAGAGACTTTCTTCCCTTGCTCAGAGATGATTAAAGTCAACCAGTAACTTTCATAGGCTTGAAGGGTGGAATAAAAGCAATGGCCTGCAAGTGTGTCTTTTCTCTTTTCTTATTTAATTTGGTAAATCTCCAAGGAGTTAATATTACAAGGACAATTAGAAACCGCTGAGGGTTTGTGAAATTTCAGGGTGTGTCCACTAATTTCATGAGGCTTCTAGGCAACAAATACCAAGGAGCTTTATTTCACTGAGCCAGAAAAATGCACAATCATTGGTTTCTACTTGATTCCTTCCAATAGATGATGCAATAAGGTTTAAATTTCCTTAAGGGCCTTGGAGATGTGTCACTTTGGGCCTTTGTGCAATCTTTGGGAAGCTGTTCGCCCCCTCTTGGCTTCCCACAAGAAGCTCAATTTTGATTAGCAGACACTTTGGGGTTGTAACACAGGGGTGGAATGTCATTAATGACTCCTCTCTGCTCCTTTCCCAATGGCAAGGATCCTGGCCAGCCCTGCCTAGTCATGAGGGCTGTCTGAGGCTTGTTAATGAAGGCCTCCAATCAGGAATGGGTGAACAGTCTTGGCAGCTAACTCACTTTAAGTCAGAACACAAGAGTCCCAGAGAGATCTTGCCAGTCCGGCCCTTTCTGATACTTAGAAGCTGCCAGAGGTGACTTCAAGGACACAATTCTATCAGTTATCAGAAGACATTTCTGAAGATGGTTTTAAGTTCTGCATCTCCAGGAGCCCCTCAAGCCCTTATTTACTCAGTCAGTATTCACATTTTTTTTTTCCAAAATATTCTTCTTGGTCCAGGCAGGAATCACAACTTAAGGTATCCTTAACTGTCACTGAGATATCACAGGATTATATAATAAGCTATGTGGCCCACAAGATTTTTCTTTGAGAAATAGAGCATACATTTGTAGTGAAAAAATTCCTATGGGTTTTTGGAAATCTTTGAGAAAGGCTAATTTGGGTGCAGGAACAAGCTCTATTGAAGGGCTGTTCTCTAAGAACAATAGGGCAGGGAATTTTAGAAGATGAAAACATTGTAAAAGCCAAAAGTTCTTTCCTGTGTTTTTATTCTGGCTTCTCTACAGCAAAAGAAAAGTGTTTCCTGTGAATATGGCTTCTCAATACTTTACTAAATTTCTTTTTCTCCCTGGTGTAGGGCTCCATCAAACTCTGAAGGGTTAAGGTTGTACCCTAACTGTGGGCAGCCAGGTTCACGCATCTAAATCTCCGGTTAACAAGCCAATGTTCATTCTCGGAGAGGACAAGCTGGAGTCTGTATTTGCCTTAATTTGAATTTTTTTTTGGAGTTTTTATTTTTTTTAATTTTATTTATTTTATTATTTTTATTTTTATTGTTGGTAGTTCAAAACATTACACAGTTCTTAATATATCATATTTCACAGTTTGATTCAAGTGGGTTATGAACTCCCATTCTTAATTTGAAATTTTAACAGTAGAAATAATACCTTAAAATGCGACAAGATTTTCAAGTTGGCAGCCTGTAAACATATAAATAAAATAAAAATAATTCTGCAACGTATAAACATAGGTTGCAGAATTATTTTTATTTTAACTTTTGTTATTTTAAAATTTGTATTTTTATTTAAAAGTGATAAATAGTGTTGTTGGTTTTCAATTCAGTCGAATATAATTCTGCTTTATAAATTACAGGTGATTATTTGGCGTTGAAACTTCATTTAGTTATTATTTGGCATTATATAAAAAATAATTTTCACATCTGACTAGGGCTTTATTAGCCCTAATAAAGAATAAATGCAATCTTCCTTTAGGGTCTATTTGCTATCAGACTTTCAAATCAACCAGATGCATTCATTTAAATTAGATTAAATTAAAGTTACTTAAAAGAGGTGCTTAATTATCAGAGGGTAATTTTACAAAGAATCAGATATATGAAGTAACATAACTTGTAAACAAGATTATCAGAGACAAAATCAAGTCAATGACAAAATTTTTAATCATGGGACTGAAACAAAGCCAGAGACGGTATTCTTCATGGCATACTGCCACCAAGTGGCTAGGTCATTTCTTTAAATTATACTTAACATTTTTCATCAAAAAGCAAAATTTATAATAGAGAGAAATATTTTTAACAAGAAAAAAGGAGAGAAAAATAAAATAATTTCATATCCTCAGTTTGCAGTTATTATTTTATAGTATTTTGTAACATTTTAAGCATTCCCAAAATGATATGCCCACATGCACGCACACACACACACAAAAAGATTCCTTTACAACTGAAAAACATAACAGCTGTAATGGACAGGATATTTTCTAAAGTGCTAGAAAAACCCGGAGATATTTTCTTTATTTGTGTAGTATGTGCAGTGTTAAGGTCACAATTGGGACAATTCTATTTATGCCACAGGAAGTTAAATATGCCCATTACTTTCACAGGAGTGTACTCAGAAAACCTACCTCGTCTCTAATTTGGGGAATCTGGGAAAATTTTTTATATGGTTTATATGCACTAATATTGAACTTTAAAGTTAGCCTTATAGAAGACAATGTGTTGGAAGGGAATTTAGAGTGGTTTCAAACAAGACATGTAGTTTCTTATTTATGGACAAAACTTACAGCATATCATAACTATATTCTTTAGCCCAACAGATACCAGGCTAAATTAATCAAATCCATTCAAAAGGACCTGGTTTTAGTAATAATGTCTTACATTTATTTCTTAGAGGCAATGCCAAATCATCTCCATGGCTTTTCTCTCTGTCTAGTGAGGGGCAAAGTGTGATTTGTTATCCTTTTGAAGCAACCATTTAATGAGTACTAATTATGTTCTAGGTAACATATTATTCTTTATATGCTGTCTCTCATTTAATCTTCATAGCAACTCAATCATGTAGATAATGCTATTGTCTCATTTTATGGATAAGAAAACAAAACCTCACGGTAAGTAACTTGCCTGATGTCACTGAGGTAGAGGGTGAAGAATGGAAATTCCCATCTAGTTCTGACATGTAGTTTGTTCTGGTCGCTAGTCCCTTTAATTAATAACCTCGGTTCTGCAGCAGGATAGCTCAGGGTGTGGTGCACAGTCAGCCCTCCAAGCAGCCTTCCCAGGCTGGAGCTTAGCATTGCTCTTCTGGGGTCACTCATGGTGGGTAGAGCTGCTGGCCTCTGGGGCTCCAGACCCCACCACTATGGGCTACAATTGGACTAACCCAATTAGCACTAATTTTTTAAATCTTCAGCYCAGGATGATTTTCTTCCTAAAATCAACTGTTTGATTGTACAAGCAATATGTGCTAATTATAGGATGCTCAAAAATATAGAAAAGTATGGAGATGCATTAAACAACTTTATTTTTACTCTCCAACTAGAAGTAATCATTTTTAATATTTGTTAACAGAATTTTTTTGTGTGTATCTGTACCCTGGTGGAGATCATACTCGTTAATACATGTTGTGCTCTGCCTTTTTCATTCAACATTTCCTTATTTTATTAAAAATTGTTTGAGGGCTGGGGCTGTAGCTCAGTGATAGAACTCTTGCCTAGCATGTGTGAAGCACTGGGTTTGATCCTCAGCAACACATAAAAATAAATAAATAAAAGGTCCATCTACAACTAAGAAAAAATTTTTAAATTGAGACATTATCATTATCATTATTATTAGTATTATTAGGGATATTTGAGATTTTATCACTTTTATACTGAATTTATTCAGTTATAGTCATACTGAGAAACTGTACACCATGGTAGTTTCAAACACCAACTGTGAACTCAAATGAAACTAGGTCAAAGTCCTGCATCCACTAGTTGGAGGAGTATGGTTCTGGCAAATTGTTTAACCCTTCTATGACTCAGTTTCCTCATTTGTAAAATTGGATAATAGCAGTGCTTCACATTTGAGGTTTAATTAGATAGTTCATATCTAGCAACTCAGTACCATGTTTTATATCAATTAAAACCCTAATAAGCATTAGTTATTGCTATTGTGAGACTTACAGATTGTTTTCAAATTCTTACTATTATGATTAGCTTTAGGATAAATATCGTTGTACATAAACTTCCTTTCCACATCTCTTGATTTCCATATCTTGGATTATTTCCTTAGGGCAGACTTTTAAAAGTAAAATTACTGGGCCAAAGAGTCTTAACACCTAAGAGGTTTCTTTATTTACCTATGTCTTTGCCAACCTTGTGTCAAAGCCATGGTAATCAAGGCCTGCCTCATAAATGCTTTGATTAGAGATAAGACATGGATCTTTTTAAGACTTTCTTTCAGAAGATTCTAGATGTTCAAGAAGAGGAATCATAGTAAAAATAAAATAATAATTAAAGACAAAGGGTGTGTTTTCAAAATCATTGGAGTTTTTTGCTCCCATCCTACTTTTGTTAAATACAAACATCTCTTTCTGGCTTCTCTCTAATCTTTTTCTTTGGTTGTTCTACTGTACCACAGTATTTAAGAAAATAGCAATTTCTCCAGGCCAGACCAGTTTAGCCCTGTGGTTGGAATTCACCATTATTGTTCAGACAGTGGTCACACTTATCAAGTAGGCACCAGAAGCCCAGGGCAGAGAAAATGAAATGTCAGCAACACACTCATTACCACACCTTGAAAAACAAGTCAAACAGTGAATCATGGAGTAGATGAATGGATTATGTCAACCATATATATTAAGGATGACAAGGTGTGCAGAGAAATATCCAAGGGACTATCTTCATTCATATATTCCTAGGCTGTGAGCTCTTTTTATCTTCAGAGAGAAGGGGGTACAAAATGTACACATGGCATTTATATTATTAAGGCAAAGAATAAAAGGAGGAAAAGGTAAAAAGCAGCAATCATCTAGAAAATTTCCCTCAGTGGTATGGACCATATATAGATGAGGGCCTGATGTCGAGGTGTAGCAAAACTCAATGTGTGAGAATGGRGAGCCTTCCACACCTACTAGTAGT